TAAAAAAGTGAACATAAAATAATAAAATAAATAAAACAAAACTACATTGTTTTTCCTTCCTGCAACCAGAACAGTGGGATCTGTATGTAGCACAGTCCCTGTAACAACCATCATCATAGCCCTCAGTTTACTTTTACAGCACTGCTATCTTGCAGTTGGGGGTTTAAACATAAAAATCAGTAATGTTTTTGACAACTGATACAATATCACCAAACAAAATACTCAAGTGTATAGATATTTCCCTACTCCCCTAATACTAAGGTGTATTCCTGCAGCCTGCTGACTCTCAGCTATATCTCACTGTTAAGGTTCTTTTTCTAAGTAAGTATACAGTATGTGCATGTATCCTCGCTCTGTTGAAAGTGTTGTGTGGGAAAATAGCTTGTGGTTTTGTGTGTGTGTGTGTGTCTGTGTGTGTGTGTTTTTTTTTTTGTGTGTGTGTGTGTGTGTGTGTGTGTGTGTGTGTCTGTGTGTGTCTGTGGCATTTGAGCCACCTGTGCCCTGCGGCCTCCTGCAGTGACACAACCTGAAATGGCATCAGGCCTCAGGGGAGAGAAGACGTCTCGCTGCTCACCTCCATCTCTTTCTCCTCCTTTGTTTCTATTAACATGACTATTTACAGCCTTCCTATCCTCTTTATACATCCTCCTCTCATCCCCTTCACCTCTTTGGAGTGGGGTGATTGGATTATATAATGGTTGAGATGATAAAAACAATATCATCTCTGTAAGAAAATACTGATACACTTGAGTATTGCAATGCAATGTTATTGTTTTGTGATATTTGATCGATTCTCAGAAACACGGAATGGGTTTTAAACCCCCAACAGCTAGAAAGCAGTGTTGTTAGCGTAAACTGAGGGCTATGATGTTGGATGTTACAGGGATACAAATGCAGATCCCACTGTTCTGGTCGCAGTATATCACTTTACTTACAGTATCTTACCAACACACAGGCGTAATCATCTTGTTTGTGCTGCATACTCGTGATTATCACTATACAACCACAGGCACAGTCCTGTGTTCTGTAACTGTAAAATACCAACCACATAATGGGACGGTACTGTGCTGTCTCCTTTGTACATACTCTTTTAAGCAGAACTAACTTACACCTTAATAAAGTAATTCTCTACGTCTAATGTTATGACTTTCCAAATTACATGACTGAGTTTGTGCAAAGTCACCACTCATGTTCTGTGTGTTTAAAACTCTTACTGTGACTGTGAATAAATGGAGCGTGCCCAAAAGTGAGCTCTGGCACCAATCAAGTGCTTATGCATTTCTAATGGCCGTCACGATGATGGAAATATCTGATGACGGAGCTTCCTCCTTCTGTCTCTTCTTCTCCATCCTCTATACCCCTCTTTCCTCCCCTCCTCCCTCCCTCCCTTCCACCTCTCCTCCCTCGCATCATCTGTGCCCATGCTAAAAGAGGCAGGAGCTTTTTACAGGTGCCTCACACCGCTCTCTCGTTTTTCCCTCTTCGTCCTCATCTCTCTCCGCCGTTCTCTCTCCCTCTAATTGATTCTAATAGCTCTTGATGTGTGCTCCGTGTTTGGACAGCTTTTGACTGTGTGCTTAGCCGAAGTGTGACAAACTGCTCCCGTCGCAGACCTTTTATCCGTCACGGCCCGTTTCCTGGGGGCGCGCGCTGCCTCTCCCTGCTTTTAAAAAGTCATTTTAATGGTTCTGTCCATTAGCGTGACAGCTCCAGTTTAGGAGCACACCAGTAATTGTATGTAATCATATACTATCGTTTATTTCTGAACCCGACAGCACAATATGGATACATTAGCAGAACATGTGTTCAAACAAGCTAATCCTGCATTGCTGCAAAACTCTTTTTATACTTTTCTTCATCCATTATTTGCTTGATGTTAATTTAAGCAGCGACAGAGAGGGCTTGTGTGTGTGTGTGTAGGTGTGCATGTGTCAGTCAGTAATGTGTTGTGTTGAAGGCTCAGTGGAGCACAGTGTTGGCTGAGAGCGCCAGCGTGCACGTTAATGTGCTGAACAAAGGCACAAATATATATCTCTCCTCGAGCCCTTGTTGTTCCGACCTCGAGAGTTTGGTACAGCCTTCCCTCGCAGCCCTGTCACTGTGTGTGTGTGTGTGTGTGTGTGTGTGTGTGTGTGTGTCACTACCCTCTCCTATGTTTGCTGTGTTCTGTGCCCTACCCTGAAAACACAGCACGTGCCAGCCCTTACACATGCCGATAGAAACGCGCTGCCTGATTGTGGCTGATTTCATGCCTGTCAAGCCAGCTGTCCGATGGGAAAAGGGGGGGAAACCCTTTATTTACAACATTTGTAGTAATTACATCAACCCTTGATTTAGTTGGTAGCCTTCAGGGTGAATGGCAAGTTTAATTCAAACCCTGGAAAAAACATGTGCTGAGCAAGTTGATCCTTTTGTGGGCGACAGCTGCAGAGGAAGCTACAGCCCAACTGTGACATGAGCACCACTGTTCAGGATTGGAAATAAATATATAACGAAGCCTATGACATTGTGCATTTATACTACGTTATTGTGTTTGCAAAGCACGTTACATGTGTGTTCTAAGCTTTAGGGCTGTGTCTGCATTACATTTATGAGGCTGTAACCGTGTTATGTAATAGTTATTTAGCTCATGTGCAGATAACATTGAATCTCAATCTTCTAATGAAGTTATAATGTGTTTACAGAGGGTTCATAATTCACCTAATTCTCAACTCTTCCTGTACAATCAGATTGGTGTTTATATGTCTCAAGGCATTGGGTTAGGGTTCGGGACCATTTCATGGAATTAAACCACTTTTGAATCTGCTTATCGAATACATTTGGATGCAGTTTTCAGTATTTATAACTGCAAGTTTTATGTCATTTGTCATTATTTTGAGATACTAAGTCAATATTTTGAGATAGTTTCTTATTATAATGACTTACAGATTATTTTTTCATTGGCGAAAATGGGTTTCCATACGATCATGATGTTACAGAGTGGTGCTTAACTTATCTAGTATGATGTATAGCTGAGTACAGACAACTCACTGCGCAACAGCCAAGTTTCACTTTTGACCTTTTGAAAGTTACCCACTGTATGCAGCATTAACTTTAATTATTTACAGCTGATATGATCTTGCCTGTATGTTTTGCACATCGCTAATAAAGAAGAGAGGAGAGATAAAACGTGTGATTGGAGGTTTGTTATCTGTGGAGCTTAGCAATCCAGAAGGGTATTTTATCGACCTGAAGCGGAGTCCAACACAGCAGGGCTGCAACTAACCATTATTTTCATTATCGATTAATCTGTCGATCAACCCAATCCCCCTTTCCTCTTTTTTTTGTTTGTATACTTTTTAGATTTAATTTATTCTACCCTATTTTTGGTAGTTTTCTTAATTCTTGATTTATGTTTGGGTGAGGATTTGCGAATTCTTCTTGTTCTTGGAAGCTACGGAATTGTAACACTTGGATTATTGTAAACGCTTAAAAAAAAATACATACAATCGGTCGGTCATTTTTCTCCATGAATCAGTTAGCTCTTGGGTAAAAAATGTTGATCAGTGTTTCTCAAATGTATTTTTTTGTCCACAAGTCAAAGATATTCAGTTTCCAGGACTAAAGAAACCAGAAAACCTTTTCCTCTGAGCTCTTTGTGTTTGCATCAAAACAAAAGGGAAAAAGATGGCCATCTAGCCCTCAAGTTACCATAAGAGTTGGCATAGCAACCAGTAAAACCCAGTAAGGGTTGCAGCACAGTAAATATCAGCTCAGTGGGAAAGCCCAAATGTTTGGCTGCAAACACCCCCTAAATATAGGTCCTGCCTCGCAAGAGTCTCTATCTAAAGATATCACATTGCATATTGCTTGGTTCCCTCATTATTATTATATTATTATATAGAGTTCATTATTGACTCTATTCAGCTGTGCTTTCTGTGCTCTGATGCATGACTTCAATCTACATACTGTATGTTTTTATCCAGCCATTTGAGTACAGAAAGACTGAAAATGAACACAAAAAGAGGCCTTGGACATGCTGCACACAGATGCACCATATTTAGACAGTGAATGTAAAGCCTTGCAGTGTTGCCGCGAGTGTCGGTGCGCAGTGAAAAGGAGAATCCCTCCTGTCAGGACCGTGCTGGGGAAAACGCTCGACTAATCCTTGTTCCAGCGCCACCAAACATTACTAATTCTGGCTGCTCATTCTTCCCTACTCTCTGTAGCATATTTATTTTGGAGGGAGCGAGGGAGATGAGTTGGGTGGGTGTGTGGCGAGTGAGAAATAGAGAGAGTGCGAGCGCGTGGAGAGTCACACGGATAAAAGCAGAGTGCGGAGCTGGGAGGGAGGAAGGGAGGGGAGCCACGGGCAGATGAAAGAGGGAGAGATCAAGTGAGAGACAAAAGGTATGAGGTAGATGTAGCACAGGGAGCCAGGCGGGAGAAAGAAAAGTGACAGAGAGCAATAGAAGAGAGGAGCCCACCTCCCCACCCCTACTTGAACCCTCCTGAGCCGAGCCGAGCCGAGCCGAGCCGGGCTGCGTGATACCACCGTGCTGATTTCCCCCCTGACGGCTCCCCAACAGCCTCCGCCACGGAGCCCAGAGAGCGCAAGAGCTGGCTGTGCAGGAGCAGGAGCCTGTTGCCTGGATACCCCGTGCTGTTGCCGCGGCGGAAAGCCAGGATTGAACCGTGTGTGTTTGCTGGCCGGTGCTGCTGCCATGGGAAAAACACAGCTGGCTGACTGTCTGGATGGCTCGCTCACTCGCTGGCTGACATCACACGTATGAAATAAGGACGGAATCACCCTGGTACCGGGGGCTTTGAGGAGAGGAGGTGGCAGGCTAGGGGGGGTGGGACAGGGTGACAGGCACTCGGCTTTGGATGATGAAGAAAGCTGTTTGGTAGAGAGGGGGAGAAACCAGAGAAGATTATCTTGGCCACCGAGTGAAGGCGGGGTAGCTAGGGGGAGACGAGAGCCGAGGAAGGGGAAGGCTGTTCGGGGGAGGAGAGGGGAGAGGAGTTGGGCTGGCTGGGTTAGTTCTGAAGGAAGGGGGGCGGTAGTGGCTAGCGGGGTGTGTGGAAGCCATGCAGATCCAGTCTTCTGGTCCACAGTCCAAAGCCTCCAGCTTCATCCTCAGTCAGAGATGTGTGCTGGACTCCAAAATGGAAATTCACCGGTACGTACCTGCTGTCACAGAGTCCTTCAAGTCCTTCTGTGTGTCTTCATTAACCTCCGTCTATATTGTCCATCAGTGAGCGGTCAAGGCCTCATGTCTCACAAATGAGTGTTTGTGTGGATGTTCATGGTTTCATTGAAGACAAAAAAGGAGAAAGCCAATAGCCCTTTCTTCACTCTTTATCCAGATTATAAGTACCAACCCGCTGTGGAGCAGAGTTCCTCCCTCCTCTGCAGTGATAACAGAATTAATATATATTAATATTATTATAATATTATAATAACGGTATTGCACAGAAATGTATGATGCAGTATGGAAACTAGCCAAACAATCAGAGCGGTGATTTTAAACTTTAAACTAGAGTTGATCCTTTGGTGGAGACCATTTCCCCTTGGCACTTTAAAGCCCTTAGTCCTGAAAGAAGAGAACTTAATGACAACAAGGACTTTAAATCCATAAAGAAAAGGAATGGTGTTGTTGATATAATCTTGGTTTTACAATCCTATAAACCAAGGTTCTGGTGAGCACCATTAAGTGTGAGTCATTCTTGATCTGCTGCATTTATAATAAATTCAAAGGTCTAAAAAGTGACAATACCATCTTGAATGTTCAGTCTTCTAACTAGATACTAGCAGTTTTGTAGAACACTAGAGCTGCAACAATTAGTCTATTAATCAATTAGTCAATTGTTTTAAGCCATTTTTGAAGAGAAAAAAAGTCCAAATTCTCAGATTTTAGCTTCTCAAATGGGAAAGTTTCTGGTTTCTTTAGTCCTCTATGACAGTAAAATGAATGTTTGGATTGTGGACAAAACAGGACATTTGAAGACGTCACCATCAGATTTTGGGAAACACTGATCAACATTTTTCACCATTTAACGAGCCAAGCAACTAATCTATTACTCAAGAAAATGATCGACAGATTCATTGATAATGAATATAATTGTTAGTTGCAGCCCTCATCCACACAATTAGTGGTCAGAGTGTTTTATTAAAACCCACTTGCAAAAAGCAGAGGCTGTAGTGTAGTTTTTTTGTTAGTATGATATTTGAATCCTGGATTTCTGGATTCTGGCCTTGAGAGAAAGTTGTTTCTGTTTGAGTCAGCTCTGAAGGATTTCCTTTCTCATGCCTGTGTGCCTGTCTCCCCGAGGGCTTGGTTAGGATATAGCTAGCAACATTGCTAACTTCTACATCGAGCAGCTGTAACGCAATGTTAAGCAAGCAGACATTGCTTAATTATTGATGTGGTTTGCTAAAATGTCAGAAAACATCTTTCTTTGGCTCAGTGGGCCAAATGTTAAGTTCACTTGGAACGGAGTATTCCCTTTGGCTTTCAGTTCAGAAAAACGGCTGGCTGTGTGAGTGTAGTAAAATAAGCATATCCACCTAATTGTGTCTGAATGGACCACGAGACCATCGTTCAGCCAGATGACCTGTGTTCGAGCCCAGCAAGGATCCACACTGTGTCTGTGTCCTTTAGCCAGTTAGTGAATGTCCCAGCTCCAGGGATTATGGTCTGTACCTGACCTCTGACCTCCCACAAACAAATACCCTGCAGTGCCAGTCATGCAATGCATTACATCACAAGTGAATATATTTTATAGCGACTGCAGTAGCATTTAGAATCTGAAATACTGATTGGGGGCTTTTCTGGCGTTTGGCTGCTGGCTATCATCACTCTCAACAAGTTTTTTCTTAGTTCATTTAAAGGGGAAGAGACATTTTACCTGCATCCCTGTCCTTGCTCCAAGGTAAAGGCAGTCTGTCTAAATCTGGTTAGTGCTGATTAGAGAATTTCAGCGAACTGTAGGGCTGCACCGAATAGTACGAAGCTTCATTTATAAAGTTGACATTCTTATTCAAAATCAACATTAGAATGCTGCGGAGGTCGGGAGGCTACAAACACGTAGCAACAAGGACGGGGTTTCGGCTGCATCCACACAAAATCCGGCAGTGTGGTTCCTTCCCGCAGGGTTGTGCAGAGGCGTGGGTATGTTTTTTGTACTTTAGAATGGAACTGTGAAACAATCAGAAAATAATGTTTTATTTTCTCTGATTCACTGCTCTGTTCTCGCAGCTCCCTCTCTTTAATCACTCTCTAGCTCGCTCATCAAGCCGGGGAGGAGGGGCCAACTTTTAATCGTGTGTTTACAGCCACCGACAAATCCCACTCATTGGGCCTTTAAAGACTAACTCATTTAATCTGATGAAGCACAAATGGAGGATTTTTATTTTTTTTTTTTAGGGTGATGACATCATAAAATATGACGTATATGTCAGACATTTGAAGCTTTGTTCGAAAACCTCAATAAAAGCTTTGAATGTAAAAGAAATGTAATAGAGAGAAGAGGAAGATGAAGTCGAGGAAGCAGCAACATTTACTGAAAGTACATCTGGAAGGTGGGATTTAAACATCAGGGAAGCCCAGTAGGAAAGTAGGGTGTTAAAAACACATTTACATTAAACAAAAGAACCTAACATGCTTCCAATATCACAACAAAATCTCATGTTTCACCGGTAACCCTGTATCCTCTGTCATTAAGTCATAGTGATTTTGTGATTAGCCTGATGGATAAGGTGAGCTTAGCTAGTTATTCCGGTCTGTCTGTCCTTCTGCTTGAACAACATGTTCTGTCAGCTTTGTGCCCAGACTAATGTGTGTGTGTGTGTGTGTGTGTGTGTGTGTGTGTGTGTGTGTGTGTGTGTGTGTTGCCCAGGAGTGAGAAGTTGATTGATACCCAACATTATATGGCAGCATCTGCATAAAAAACAGCTCCACAAGCGCACATAACCTCAATCTGCAAATGTCTCCATCCATTCCAGTGTTTACATGTAAACACAAGCAGCTCAGGCTACATTTAAGTAAAACTCATTAGTGCTAAAGATGCTCATTTCATTCCCTCAGGAGGAAAAAAGAGCCTTTGTTTAGTGATTTAAACAAAACACAGTGATGAAACTGTTAAAAATAAAAGCTAAAAAGTGACAACTTGTTTGTGTTGGTATGTACATGAAAAACAATACTTGAGGAAATGCAACAACAAAAACACAAAATAATAAAAACCTATAATCTGAGGAATGCATTTTGAATATAGATAACTGTGTATGCAGATCTTTACTAGATGTTAAAATTAAAATTCACTATTATTTTATATATACATGATCAGAAACTAGAAAGAACACAGCCAAAGAGAGGTTTTAAGATGGAAAAGTAACATCTAATGCTTTAAAGCAAAACAATACAGATAAGGATACAGGGGTTACGGCCCAATATATTGCGTTTCTTTTTTTTAATCCAACTTTTAGGAAATTCTCATAGTACAAAGAACATATCATTATTTGCATAACATTAGTTGAAAATTAGTTTAAAAAAAGATAAAACACAATGAACTTTGTGTACAGTATCACAAAACATAATATCGCCGTACTCGAGTCTATCTTATTTCTTACACTGGCAGTGTGACAGTGAGACAGCATGAACAATACCAGCACCCTTAAACTGAAGCAGCTAAATGGAATTCAGCCACCATTCATTTTAACATTCACCCCGATGCTTTTCCTACTGTCACATTAAAATGTCTGCTGTGAAAAGGGCCTATTTAATTTGACTCCAGGGGACACTTTTTTTTATCCAGCACATAGTAAAAGAATTTGTCACACAAACATTACCACAAGTCGCTTATGGTTGCCCACAAGGGACAAACATCCCATTCACAGGTGAATATTTGGCAACTCAACAGAATTTCACAGGTATTTTATGAACTTTTGAAAGCCATTTGGCCTCAATCCGCTCCTGTGTTCAAACAGGCCTATACAGTTGTTCATCTGAAGGCTTCAATTGTTGGTTTCCATGGTTATTTACTAGGAGTGAAAGCAGAGTGCTGCTCAGTCCGGTCCAAACCTGCTCTGTTGTCAATGTGTTCCCTGTCCCCTGTGTGAATGGGAACGTGATTGGACTCTCATAAAAATGCACCAGGCTCACAGTTAACACACAGGTTGCACTCTGAACCCTCGAAACACCCTACAATACACTACTCTGTGTGTGTGTGTGTGTGTATGCACAGTTAACACGCACATTGACCCAACACATGCTAACATGCTTTCACACAGACGTTGTCTGTAGAGGAAACACCGTTTGGAGGGTGTTGGGGTCCCATAGCTGTCAAGTGTTACAGTTTGTGAAGGAGTGATATTTTTTAGTGATATTCTTACCTGATGTTGTTTTTGTGTGCCTCATCCTTACTCTTTACTCATCTATTTGGTTTGTTTCCTCACTTTGAGGATATTTGCCTTCCAGGAGAGTTGTAGCTTTATCATGGTAACTGCTTTTCAACCTGAAATGACTTTCTCCTAGTGTGTTCTTACCCATATGTCAGCAGTAAAAGTCAGCCAAATGTGTCTTACACCTATTCTTCGGATCATTTGTGACCCAATTGACAAAGCGTGCCTTTTTATTCAGTGAAAGGTCAGATGGTTGTGTTGAGGGGGATTCCCACCCTGCTCTCCAGGGGGTGATCACAATGATGCTGGTTACCGTGGCAATGAAAAGGCCAGAGTCATTTAAGGCAATGAGAGAGAGAGGGAGGGTGGGGGGCACCTGTGGATCCTTCCTCTGGGGATGTGCCTCTTCAGTCAGCTAATGGTTTCTGTGAGCGAGTTGCTCCAAGCCTAATTGAATCCAAGAGGATTCTGTGTTTCCTTAAACAAGCCTGGTGCTTGAATAGGCCAGTCGATGGTCCAGGTAATTACTTGGCAATAATGTTACACCATAATGACCTGCATTAGGTGACTAGGAAATAATTGGGGAACAACAAAGCAGCACTATTGTAATGTAGCAGTGATGTTCAGTTTCATTCTGTTACATTTAACAGCACAGACATGAATCCAAGAGTGATTCAATTATTTGATTTAAAGCTGCAGCAGGTAACCTTTATGACAATAACTTTTTGTCATATTTGCTGAAACTTTCACTTTATCCTGATTATAGGTGAGTATTGGCAA